AACAAGTGGTTCCATACTAGAAAATTATTTCAAGTGGTATCACATCTACACATGGCATCAATCATGCAAGACGATGGTTCCACAAGTGATCCTCAACTTTAAGTGATCATCAAATGAAGAATGCATCCCTCACCCACAAGAGCTCACGTGTATCAAATGGATGACCCATGCTATCACATAGGGGGGTGTCACACAAATTGATATCAAAATCAAAGATCCTATGTGTGGTATCTCAAGAAGCCCTACACAAGATACAAGTGGTATAAGTTAAAAGTGGTATCTTTAAGTGGTGTCATTCCAACAATCAAGTGATGTCCATAAAAACGCAAGATTCAAACCTCAACCATCTACCCCAAATGCATACCTTTGCATCAATGAGAAGCACACCTTTTATAGAAATTAATGACAAAGGGGGAGAGATTGTACAAAGATATGAAAGCTTTAAGATTGAGATTGTAGATATGAAAGCTTTGGGAGAGATTGAAACAAAAAAGTAGAGGTTGGACATAGACATGGACAAAGAGGGAGCAACATTGAAGAAAAGAGATGGATCAAAATTTTTGGACAAGAGAAGCACACAAATAGGGGGAGCAAGCTTATAAACTTTGATTGATTGCATTTGATATGTGCATATTCATGTGCTTGCTTGCATTGCATAAGTTCTTAAATTCAATATGCATGCTTGTATGAAGTATGCTAGTTGTAGAATTTGATTGATGAAATAAAAACTAGCATGCATAGGATGATAGCTAGACACTTGGTATGCTTTTCAAGTAATGCTAGTACCTTGATTTTAATGTTGATCTCACGAGATATCTAGTGATTTTATTTTCAAGTGATATCTAGCTAACCATGGTGCTAAGGATGAACTTAAAGGTGCAACTCCGATTGGTATCACGCTTTAAAGATTTACTCTATACACCTTAGCATCATTTAGTAGTAATTACTCTCCCATAATTTCAATCTATGCATATGTGCGAGCTTCAAAACAAACACTCTAGCACATATGTAGGGAGAGCTAATACTACCATTTCGGGTTTGTGGTACTTGTCCAAAATTATTTACACATGGTAAAATTGCTTGGGCAAGCAACATGAATCCAAAAGAGCTTAATTTCCATATCTTTGTAGAGTTGTCATCAATTACCAAAAAGAGAGAGATTGAAAGGTCCTTGTGTGGTTTTGGTAATTGAGTGACAATCCTAGGTGGACTAATTATATTTATATGAGATACACAAGTGATTAGTCCACAAGTACATGTGTGTGAGCAACATATGCCGTGAAGGTGAAAATGATTTGAAGATGTTGCAAAGCTCACACCTGTGATGATGAAGGAGCTTATTGTACATGAGACATGACATTGAGTCATGTGATCAAGGTGGAGAAGATCAAGACAAGACTTGGCTTGATGGACCGGTTGCAAGCGTGAAGGGCAAGTCGGAGGCTTTGGAGTGATGGATCGCGTGGCGGTGAAGCTTGAGCAAGACTTAGCGCCGATGGACGAAGGCAACGGTGAAAAGCAAGTGAAGTCAAGATCGATGAACCAATATGATCATGTGATGATATGAAGTGGATTATATTATTGTTGATCATGTTGGTGCATGTGTTGCATCGACATTGGAGGAGATGGAATAAAATGCGCAATGCAAAGGTATAACCTAGGGCATTTCATTTCACTGGTCATAGGTGTGTAGAGAAGTTGATGACTGGGTTTAGGATAGATGGCCGTACTATCAAGAGAGGCAAACTTGTTTGCATATCGGTCATCTAGTGTCACTCGAGTGATCTAACTTTGCATCATCACTAGGATCAAGTGGCGTGGCAAGTTGAGTGGCTAATCCTTTGGAGAATGTTTGTGAAAAGCTAACACACATACATATGGTGGTGCACACTTAGTGGTGTTGGCACATTTGCAAAGGAGAAAAAGTTAGAGTTGTCGTGAATCAACTTAGAGAAGAGAAAAATATTTTTTGGTGTACTCTAAACTATAGGATAGTCCTTGGATTGGAATACTGTTTTGATCCATTGTGATTTAGATCAAGTATGCATGTGGGATGTGTAGCTCTCTGAGTAAGCTTTCCAAAATGTCCAAGATCATCGAAATCGGAGTTCGGAGCTAAGAGTTATAGCCGTTTTAGCGCTGAAAGGTCTGTGACCGGACGCTGGCGCGAAAAACGACCGGACGCTGGGGTCCAGCATCCGGTCAGCACCTGCAAGTCTGGTCACAGCGTCCGGTCAGTGGTTTTCGCGTGTCCAGAAGCGACCGGACGCTGGGAGAGTCCGGTCACTGAAAAACATCGCTGGAACCTCTCTGTAAGTGACCGGACGCTGGGTTTCAGCGTCCGGTCGTTATGACCTGCTCGTCCGGTCAGTACGCACTTTGCCCAGTGAAGGGGTAATGGCTATTTTAGCCCTTGGGGCTGTAAAAGGAGTGTGTGGCCGGCCTTGGGCTGGTTGCTTAGCACCCTCACGCCTATGTGGCTTGTGTAGGAGTGCTTGGATGCCCTCTAACTCACTTATGCTTACAAGAGTACGAATCGATTGCGAGTGAGTGTGATTCTAGTGTGTTGCATTGTGAGATTGCATCGAGTGGCACTAGGTGATCGAGTTGTAAGCCGGTGGTGCTTGTTACTCTTGGAGGTTGCCACCTGCTAGATGGCTTGGGGGTGGTCTCCATCGAAGCCCGCAAGAAGCTTGTGCGGTGCTCCGGAGAAGAGCTTTGTGAGAGGGCATTGTGCTCGCCCCGCGGGAGCCGTGAAGAGCAACTCTAGTTGAGCGTGTCATTGAGCTACCCTCAGTTTCGGGGTAGGTTCTTGCGGTGCCCGACGTGCGGGCTTGGTGGATGATGCCAATTAGCCGCCGAACCACCAAGTGAGCGGTCGACACAACGGGGACGTAGCGTGTTGGCAAGCACGTGAACCTCGGGAGAAAATCACCATGTCAACCTTGTTCTTTCCGTTGGTTTGCAATCCCCTTACACATGCTTATGATTACTTTTATATACATTGTGCTTGTGTAGTTAGCCCGACACCTTTGTGTGACCTTGCTCCTAGAATTGGTTAGGTGAGCTCTAGTTAGCCCGGCACCTTTGTTGTTTAATTAGGATCTTTGCAAGGTGCTAGAGAACATAGATAGATGGGTGTAGTCTTGCCTAGACCGATAGTTTTAATTCCGCACTTGTTTTGGTTAGCCGACGCGATTAAGTTTTAGAAACGACTATTCACCCCCCCTCTATTCGCCATCTCGACCCTTCACGCGTACATCTAGTTGTGGCAGACCAGGGACCGGTAGCCGGTCGATGCGGGTCCCCTACACGACCAGCACACCTTCGACGAGTACCTGTGGTGGCTTCACAGGTCTACGAGGACACATATCAAGCCTCCGTACACTGAGGAGGCGATTGACGAGGACTCAGAGGAAGATGTGATCGAAGATGTGTACGACGTTGCCACTAAGGATGACACACAACTACAGAGAGCCCCGCTTCAAAGATACATGGTAAGATACTAGAATGGTACAATTTGTTATCCATTTGATATTAAGTGTGTGTACTAAAACTGTCCAACCTCGTTTCTGTACCCAGGCGATACAATTGTCAAGGCTGTCCAACGAAGCAACGTTTCGGCTTCACGAGTCTAGAGGACAGGGGCCAGGCGTTCTCGAAGCTTTTGTGGAGGTAAACATAAACTTGTCCGTTCCAAAAATGTTTCTTTAGTGTATATGCGTTTGGGAAATACACTAACTTTAACGTATATTCATGCAGAAGGTGAAGCGGGGCTGCAGGAAGCTAGCTCAGAAGTTGAGCTACATAGACACTCCTTGGGTGGAACCCGATTACCAGGCGCGGTCGGGTGCCACGTCTTCTGGCTCTTTGAGGACACCAGCCGGCTCTTCTCAGCCGATGATTGGTGCCGCTTCCGCTGTGCGTACACCACCACATTATAGCGCTGAGAAGGACCCTGCAAACGAGGACGGCGATGACGACGACCCTCCGGGCTTCTGCATACAGCACCACCAGTGGGACCCTTGACAGCAGGACGAGATCGGCATGTCTCAGCTAGGTGGTGCCCCGCTTGGTACCTAAGGAGCCTCACAGGTAGTAACAAAGGTAGTGTCTTTAAATACATAGGCTCCATAAACTAACGATCATAAAGATTATAAGTAATCGTGCATATCATATACTTGCAGGATATGAGCCGTACCCACCGGCAACGCGACCACACCGACGCTGGCTACACTCCCAATGTGTTGCCTATAAATCCAAAGAGACAGAGGCGTCCGAGGGATCCTTACACTCCTAGAATTTAGTTGGTTATATCGAACTTACGTCGAACGAATATTGTCGTCGGAAACTTGCAGACGCATGAACCAATGAATATGTTACGTGACAATTTGTCAACTTGCGCACGGACTTTATTTATTTGCTTCATATTCATTTCAATGCATCGCGGCAGCACTTAGTTGTTTACAGCACCGACAGAACAGCTCCCGTTCAATTGCAATTGAGGCTGGTCGTCTTCTGTCTGCGTCCAACTCCTACCGCGCCGTGGGCTATGGCGCGGCAGACCCTGCCACGTCACCGGTCAGCGCCCGGTCGTCGCCACGTCATCTCTCTCACCGCGCCACCATGCATGGCGCGGCACAGGCGTTTCGCCGCGCCAGGGAAATAGGCGCGGGCAAATGTGTTAATTTTGAAAAAAGAAAAAACAGTGTTATATTTTAAATTAATTTACAAAAATGTTTAAAAAAAAAAAATCCGCAGGAGCATGCATGAGCCGGCGGGAGCGGTGCCAAATGGTGTCTTTAGTAATATACTTCCAGACCTCCGTCCAGTAATATGATAACTACTAGATAGATGAGTTAAAAGTGCCGGCCGCGGCCGGGCTAGCTGCAGCTACGGCACGGAGTACCTCTCATATAAATCCACCCCGTGTCCCATCAAAGCAAGCTAGTGCTCCCTTCTCCCTCTCTGGCTCTCTACTCTACCCCTCCCTCTGAGACATGGTGAAGGAAGGCACCACCGACGGCGCCTGGCACGGGCACGGCCGTGAGGTGACCATCACGGCCGTCTCGACGGTGGCGCCGGCGCTGCCGGTGCATGAGCACCGACTGCCGCTGTCGAACCTGGACCTCCTGCTGCCGCCCATGGACGTCAGCGTCTTCTTCTGCTACGCCGCGGACCCAGGTGACCGCAACCACCACCCGGCCGCGGTCCTCAAGGTGGCGCTGGCAAAGACGCTGGTGGCGTACTACCCGCTGGCCGGGGAGGTGGTGGCCAACGCGGCGGGGGAGCCGGAGCTGCTGTGCAGCAGCCGTGGGGTGGACGTCGCGGAGGCGACCGCCGACGGCACCGTGCTGCAGGACCTGCGCCTGGGCCTGCCGGACGAGAGCATCGAGCCGCTCGTGCCCAAGAAGAAGGCCAAGCGTCATGTCCGTGCAGGTTCGATCCATTCATATATATCCTTTCAACTTTGATCTCTTAGAAAAATAAAATAAAATCTACAGTAACATGCTCGGTTATTAATTGCAAGCCTGCACAAAACTAGTAGCACAAATTTACTTTGGAAAAAATACAGTTGGACTGCGACGAGTGGACTGGTTGGTCACATAGCATCATGTGGCAATATAAATACTCCAGTTACACGTACATGTACGTGCATCGTGTGTATATCAGAATAGTAAGAATTTAAAACAAAAGCTTGTATATACTACGTAGATTCGATCATCAGTAAACCATTTAACCACCGTCTGATCATGGTGAAACGCTACGGGTATCGCCCATGCGCCATGCTGACCGTGCACGAGGTGAGGGGGCGCTCGGGTACGCCGCAGGTGCGGCGGCGCTGTTGTGGCGCCCAAAATGCACGCTACAAGCGTCTCCTTACCTGAAACACTTACAACATATGTGTAAAACATATATATAACATCTTGATGCAACAGATGAAACACTTAAAACATGCGTGTATAGCCATAATAACATATGTAATACCATATCTATTTTTGAAACATCCAGATACAAGTTGCAACACTTACAACATATAAAAGAAGACAGACGAAACACTTACAAAAAGTGCCTGAAAAACACTTGAAACTCATAGCAAAACATACGCAACATTCAGATAAAACACTTGCAACATATGTGTGAAATATATGCAACATCCAGATAAACACACTTGCAGCATACATCTGAAAAACAGATGAAACATTGGTAACAGACGCTTGCAGCATACGTGTACAAACCATTACAACAAATGCAACATCCCAATCTACTTTTGCAACATCCGTATGTAACACTTACATCATAACTATGAAACATCCGGACATTTAAAATGTACGCTCGCAACATGAGCTTTCAGTGTGTAACACCCTCGGTGTTACGCCCTAAACAAACTACTAAATCATATCATGAGCATCATGTTTATGTAATAATGCATGTAATAGAAGGTGTTGATAAATTTCTGGTAGCCTCAAATGACCAATACAAATGTTAAATGAAAATTTATTCAATAACTCATGTTATGTCAAGTAGGGTGGAAAACCAATTTTTATTGAGCAAAGTATTATAGAACATGTGTGTGACACCTAAATAAAGTTTGAAGTACAAACTTTGTAGGTGACAATGCAACTCTTGATGTAGAAAAATAATATGAATAGCTAGTATTTCTAATGACTTAGAAATGGAACTTGAAGTCAAATTCAGCTCAAGACTTAGAAGAAATTTTAAGATTGAAAGCAGTGTGGCAATGCCATGTCGGTGAATTAATTCTAGAAAATATAGCTAAAGTCAATGTTGTATGTTTTGCTCCTTATGGTAGACTGATTTACCCTCATTAGTATGGCCGAGGTAGTTTAGCTTCAACTGTGTTAGGTTAGTTTTTAGACGCGCTTTAAAATTCGTGCACGTCATATGCCTGGCCTGTGCGCACGGTCACCTCGCGCGGCCGCTCGGCGTCGCGCGGCTGGCCGCGTTCCAGGCGCCGCCATGCCGAGCCCAGTCGGCCTGTCTGGTCATGGGTTGGCCGTGGCCGGCCCCAGCGGGCCGCTGTCATCGCCCTGTAACTGATGGCCGTCACGCTGCCGCCCCACCTCGCTGCTGCGCGCACAACTGCGCCATGTCGGAGGGCTGCCACTACGCTACGCCGGTGCAGCCGCTACGCGTTCGCGTGGCGAGGCGTCGTCGTGATGCTGTTGTCAGGTGTCCCTGCTGTCGCCGCGTGCGCACGCCATTTTGACCGTTGATCCGCGCGTGGGGTCGGGCCGAGGCCGGGTCCGTTGTTGCCATGGCTACGTGGCAGTCGCCCTGCCCTGCGATTCACCTACCGTGAGTCCATGTCGCTGCTCACCGCGTCTGGGTCAACCGACTCCAGCTTCAGGGTGACGGTGACGTCTCCCTGCTTCGCCCTGTCCCGCTAGCCGACGCCGGTGTGCCGTTCAGGCCCGGCTACCGCATTCAAGTGCTTCGCGCGCTGGCACCCCTCTTGGCTCCATCTAAGCACTACCCGACGCGCCTCATGCCCTCGCTCGTGCGGCCATGTCCTCGCGTTGTCGTACCCTGTCGGATCATGGCCGGGTCACCTCTGATGAGGCCGCGTCACGTGATGTAGCAGTGGCGAGGTGTCGCCCTCTCCCCTTCATAATCACCAACTCAAAGCTTCCTAGCCCAATTCCCCGCGTCAGTGAGAAGCAGAGGAAGTTAGCTAGACGCCCCACTCTCGTCGGGTCCAACGGTGGTCTGGCCGCGGCCAATTTTAGATTTTGCTCGCCGTCGGTCATGTACGCCGTTGAGCTGGTAGGTTTGGGGGTAAGACCCATAGGGTTAATAGCAGTTGAATTGCTCGTAACCCGAACTCGTCTTGACTCCCTCCATCCGGTGCTCACGCTATTTTGGGCAGGGAACTCGTCGGCGACGTGGTGACGCATGGGTGTCCATCCCGGAGCACCGCCGCCCCAGCGGCTCGCACGTGGCTAGACCGTCGCAGCGCTCCCTTGCTTCAACTGTCAGTAGGGCATACACCACGGTGAGCTACTGATGCTTCTCCGCCATCTCTATCTTTCTGTGAGGGCGTAGGTTCACCGGAATAGTCGCGCCGCCATCGCGGATAGCCCCTCGCCACTGCAGCCTGCGACAGTGCGCCTCCGAGTCCCTAACCGCCACACATCCTTGCGCGTTTAGCTGTAGATGGTGGTCGGCCCCTTAATTCCATCGTAGCGAGACTAGTTTGCCGGTGTAACCACCTTATGCCGTCGGCCACCGCGCCGGCGCACATGGGGTTTCCAGGGATCTCCCCGTGGTAAAAGTGAAAATATCCAGTGGTGTGGTTGCAAGATTACTGACGGTAGGAATAGTGCGCACAGTAATCGTATTAATCTCTGAAAGCTCGGGGGTTTTCTGCAAAGCCGCCGCCGCGCGTGAGCGCCCCCGGCCTTGTGCCGTATTGGGCCGCCGTGACGCACGCGCAACCGCGCCCGTGCGCTGTGTTGCTAGGACGAATGGTCTCCACCGGTCCTTTTCCTTTTTCTAGCATTTTTCTAATTTAGTTTCTAAGTCCAATTTGTAAATGCAATATAAATTTGTGTAGTTGCCCAAAAATTATGAAACTAATTTTGTTAGGTTTCTAAAATCATGATCTATCTGTTAGTATATTTTGTTCATATAGTTTTATAATATTTTTAGGAGTTATCTAATTAATTTGATATGCTTAATATTGTAAGATATAAATTTGTAGAAATTGTTGTGATAAATTGGTGATAGTGTTGGCTCTAAAACTTTCACAGTAAATTTCTAACATTATTAGGTGCTCACTGTAATTTTTGTAGCTCAATAATAATTAGTTTGCTAAGGTAGCTAAATGAGCCCTAGTTTGAAAATATATATTTAATCAATAAAATGTCAAAACACTTCGGCGTTTTAGAACTAAAACATTTTTTCGGAGACGAAGCCTTACCTGACGACGTGGATATGTAGCCCAGTACACTAGTTGTTAGAGCTAGCTCGTTAGCTTGCGGGTTGCGGAACGTAATCGTATTTTAGAGTTGCCGTTGCCGTTGATTATTTACGTCTCTGCGTTGCAACCACGTATATCATAATAGGGACAACGATGGATCATGAAGTCGACCGAAGTAGCGGAAAAGATGGTGCCTTGATGATCGTGTCACCATGATGGAATGCTAACTTTTGGTTATATCTTACACAGGCACGCCTCGGTACATAACCCCTATTATTCTGCACTTTATTTTATGCTTGTGCATTAAGTTTTATGGAGTTGAATGAAAACGACTTGCATATATATATATATGAGTCCTACTTAGTATGTTAGAATCGTGTAGATGGCTATGCTATAGGATTCGGTAGAAGTAGAGTGATTACCTGTCACTCGCGAGAGATATGAAAGATATAATTGTTGTTATTGTCATATTACTACCACATGGAATATATATTAGGATGATAATTGGAGACCGGGCGGAATGGAACTTTAGATCTGGACTTGGTTACACATTTGAGCGAGGCTCGAATTGCATTTGTTCCGCCTGTGCCGATTGAGGATCGTCCGTTGTTGTGGATGGTAGTCGGGTCATAAATTTATTATCCTGAACACATCCTTACTTATAGGAGTGGGAAGGCTCGTTACGCTCTTATCGTGGGTTCCGACTCTTTTCGGACCGACTGATTGGAGGCAAGGAAAGGTGAAGGTCTAAGCACCATATTGAGACCGGTCTCAAGTGTAGGGGCTTGGTGTCCAAGTTTGGACGGGGACCTGGACCCCGTGACAGGAGTGGAATGGGTTGGTCTTGTTTGTGCCTGGGGTACAAACGGGGCGTGTGTTTCGAGGTACCTAGCTGTGATACATTGATTCGCGAATTGCTATTTCTATGAGACGGTACGACTTGGCTATGGTTTAGCATCGTAGTAGGAACTGGAACTTGAAAGATGATAAAATGATTCTGATTGTTTACCACCTGCTTGAAAGTAGCATAGGTGCTTACATAGAATGGTTAGTTAATGAACTAATGATGACTGCTAATAAAATTGTATATAAGGACGCAAGTTTAATAATGCTTCCGCAGATGCAATAACCCACAAGCCAAATGAGCCTTGCATATTGTTGGAGTCTTTTATTTTTCTCCTGTCAGGTAAGTCTTGCTGAGTACAATCGAGTACTCAGGGTTTTCTTTCTCCCTGTTGCGGGTGATCGAGGGATGGTAGACGGCTTTTGTGTGTGGAAACCTCCTGGTGGGCTCAGGGAGGATTTCCTTACGTTGCTGACATAGAGTTTATTCAAATTTTTTACAAAATGTTTTTGCAAAGGAAAAGACTTACATCCTGTTATCATTCCATGCATATAAATGTTCTTAATGTTAGCGCTTAAACTTGTCGTTATATACATTTTCGCTGAAAACTCTGATAACATTGTTATATTCTGCTGTTATAATCAATTGAGGTAATATTCTGCTACTGTAATAAAGTGATGTAAGAAATGGCTTAAGAATGTTGTAAGCTTTATTCTCTCATTTATGATCCTGATTGAAAAATGTGGATTTTTGAGTTCTCCCTTGGGGTGTGCTCGACGGAACAGCGCAGTTTAGTGTCCTCTCTTGAGTACTCAGTGTCTAATGAAAGACAAGTACTCCTGGCAGGCATTAGATTAGGCGGTTCTGCCACATAGCGCAACATCTCGTTACTGCTTGGGAGAAATGGAGGTTCGCCGACGTGTGAAGTTCATCGGTCTAGAGCTCACCGGTGCCACAGAACGACCTGCCAGGGGGTGCGATAGCCGTCGAGCACGGAGGCCAGAGCAAACCTGCCTTCCGTCTCTTTGAGCCCGGCGATGGAGCTTTGTGTTGTCGACGGACCGGCCAAGGGACACTGCAGCCTTGGAGCGGACCGGCAGGGGGCAGCTGTGGACCGGCCAAGGGGCGTGATGGGGCGGCAGCCGGAGTGAAGCCACCCTCTGTTTCTTCGAGCTGGGTGATGGAGCTTCGCGTCGTTGGCGGACCGGCCAAGGGATGTCGTAGCCTTTGCGCGGACCGGGCAGGGGCAGCTGCGGACCAGCCCGGGGAGCGCGTTGGGGCAACGGCTGGCCTCGAGGCACCGTGGATTACGGGCTCCGAGGGCACTGGCGAGGCCGGCGACCAGCAGAGGAACCCCACGGTTGCGGCACTGTGGTGCGTGGTCGTGGTGGAGCACGATTTTGGGGCCATGCCGTGGAGAGCCTTGTGTAGAATGGACAAGGGGATAAGGTTCGAGACGAGTGGACAAGGGATACGCCAGTTGGACTGTTGGGCTGGTGCCGCGGCCCGCGAACGCAACGTCGCATTACCGTATAAAAACAGGGGGGCTGCTTGGTTTCGAGCAGGAGCAGGCAAATTTTGCAAAAACCATCCAAAACTGCGGCATTCAGCTTCCAATCTCAACACAAAATGCAACTGAATAATAACCTCTCACGCACTGTTGCAAACTACACTGCACCGCACTATACTTGTATACATGCACTTGCTATAATCATGACATCATCATTCATCACTGTAAATCTCGCACGTGCACGCAGGTGACCAAGTTCAAGTGCGGCGGCGCCGTCGTCGGGTGCACCTTCGACCACCGCATCTGCGACGCCTACTCCTTCAACATGTTCCTCGTCGCGTGGGCCGTGGCCGCCCGTGGCGGCTCAGCGCCTCCGGCCCCGTCCTTCCACCGCTCGTTCCTTGCGCCGCGCGAACCAGCACCACCGCCAACCTCGTGGACCGCCTCTTCGTCCCCGTGAGCCGCGTTCCAGCACTGCCAGACACACCCGCCGTCAACCGCATCTACCGCGTGTCCACCGCCGACGTCACGGCGCTTCAGGCCTCGGCGGGTCCGGGCGCACGAAGCTGGAGGCGTTCACGGCGCACCTGTGGGGGCTCTACGCCAAGGCTGCAGCAGCCTTGCGGCGTCAGCGGCATTCGTGCTGCATGGGCGTGGTGGTGGACGGGCGCACTCGCCTCCGCCGTGACGGCGCCATGAGCACCTACTTCGGCAACGTGCTGACCATCCCCTACGGTGTCATGGGCACCGGCACCCTGAGTACCATGGCGCTCGCCGACGTGGCGGACGACGTGCACCGGTGGGTGGCGGAGGCCGCGACCGGCGAGCACTTCCGCGAGCTCGTCGACTGGGTGGAGGCGCAGCGGCCGGAGCCCACGGTGGCGAAGGCGCACCTGTGCCGCGGCAACGGCGACGAGGACGCGATGGCCTGCGTGGTGTCATCGGGGATGCGGCTCCCCGTCGGCGAGATGGACTTCGGGTGGGGCCGGCCGGCGTTCGCGTCGTACCACTTCCCCTGGCCCGGCGGCGCAGGGTACGTGATGCCGATGCCGAGCGCGCGCGGGAACGGCGACTGGGTGGTGTACGTGCACGCGGCGCCGGAGGTGGTGGAGGTGATGGAGGCCGAATCGACGGTGTTCAGAGCGCTGGAGGGTAGCTACGTGTTCGACCGGGCGAATTGAATTAAGCGCGCGCCTGGCCGGCTCCCGGCTGGGATGCATGCTAGCTGCTGGAACGTGATGGCGCCATCGTGCCATCGTCGTCCGTGCATGTATGAGTATATATGTATATGTACGTGTCTGGTAATGTGCGGTGTAGGTATACGTACGTGTGGAACTTCGTTTCAAAGTGTAATTAATATATACTAGCAAATGTGCCCGTGATTCTATACGTGCAATCATACGCGTTGCAATGGAACTCAATACGTATAGGAATAAGACTCCGTATCATCGCTAGATGTGCGAGTTATTCTAACTCATATGAGTATAGTTCATGAGCCCGGTTCATCAGGATACGTAGGGTGCGACCCAATATGTATTAGAATCGAAATGCGCATCATCGCTAGATATGAGTCCTAACTCGTATAAGTATGGACATGAGTTTGGGTCACATATGAGATACGAAAGAAAACAAGAAATTTTATAGAGATAAGTTGTAGCTATAGATATATAAAATAAAATAGTGAATAGAGAGAAATTTTGCCTCCTTAATAGAGTATATAGATAAAGTATAGATGATATATAAAATAATAGATATAGATATAGGTAGATATAGATAAAAAAAAACTGGAGATAATTAGAAAAAGGAAAGTTATCAGAAAAAATTATGAAACGGACACAAAAGAAATAGACCGAAGATATTGTTCGCACACGAACACGTCACCTTGTGCGCTCGGTGATGAGCACGATACACATGATACGTCGTCGGAGGAGCCTCACCGGGAGCGCGATACGCAACACGCCGACGAGGTCTCTTGAGACCTGAAACCCCACATGCTCGAGAGGGATCCCATCAGGGTGTGCGGCAACTATGGGCTACTCTAGTTGGCCTAACCGTTTTAGGGCTTTGCCATCAGTGAAGCAACGAGTATTGTCAACAACGAAGAACGAGAAGTGATGGTAAATTCGAAGATATGATGAAAAATAATAGTAGATGTGTTTGATAGATTTGATTATGTGTTAGTCAATTGACCGTCACTCCTACTCCTAATATTTACAGGGCAGCTCGACGTCCTGAGTACAAGAGCCCATAATCTAATAGGATCTCTTGAGCCAAACCCGCCATATCCATTTTCTATAAACTGAACTAAACATAGTTGGGCTCGATGGAATTCCGGCCAAGGCCGCCACGTACATGCTACTTGGTGCTCTCATTCATCTGAACCTTGTACGGTCAAATCTGCATTATTGGCAATTAAACAAATCCGTTTTGTTTTCCTTGGGCATCCACAAAGCTGCTTGCAGTTGAACTCCATCATCGAGTACCAAACGGACTCCACCGCGCACAGCCTCGTCAGCGTCCAGAACCCTGCATCCTAGATGAAATTCTACTAGAAAAGCCAGACAAAAATCCTGCAACTGGCAAGTCCTGAACGGACACGGAAAACAAATACGGACAGAAAAAAGATTACCGAAGGTGACGGGACATACAGAAGGTTGGATGAAAAAATTATTGGTGATAGGAATTTTGACTCTTTAATATTAGGTATAGATTTAATAAGTGTAGTATTCCTATCACGTTTACCTATCACGAGGGAAAATCTCGGAGCGTCTCCAAAACACTAGGTAAATCGTTTTTTAAATATAAATATGGTTATTATTAAGTAAAAATCGTCTCCAACAGCTGTAGATGGCTCTCCAAATTTGGTAGTTCGTCATCCTGAAATTGCGGTCTCCATACATGGACAGCCAAAGTCGCTCGCCATCCGGTCCTTTCCCGCGCCAGACGACTCCTTCCCGCGTGCTGCCCCCTTTCTTCCCGTGCGCTGCCCCTTCTTTCGGCATGAACAAGATCACGTGCACGCTGTCTGCTTCAGCTTCCTCCGCCCACTTACGGCCTTTTGAGCCCGTTCCCCAATCACCGGCAGCGCGAGATGTCCCTGCCGCCACGGCCCCATGGTCCGGCACCTATGCGCGGGGGGTACGACAACCTGGCTGCCCGGTCATCTTCTCAGATGGACTAGTTCGCCGAAGGTTCCATGGCTCAAGGAAGCCAGGACTCCGTTGGTTGCGAGGGCCATGTGGATCTAGAATGGATGGAGAGCAGAGAGGTCGGATTGATGCGGCATCGAGTGATTCCTTCCACTGACCTCAATGGCCAACCATCGCAGGCCCCCTCCCCAAACGTGAGCCAACCGCCACAGTTCCCCTTCCCAGATGTAGCACATGGCGTCGTTGAGGAATTATCTGGTGAGGTCTTGGTCATTTTATTTCGTTTGTCAGTATGTTCCTAGCAGTGGATGAATTTTGCTCCTCTATGTTAGAATTGATTGTCATGATTGGTCTCTATATTTTGCTCGTCTGTTTAGTGGATGAACTTTGGTATATAGATTGATGGTGGCAATGGGGAGTACTATGTAGCAATTTACAAATTCTCTAATCAACCGAGATAATTATCTGTCAATTTACAAAATTATATGTGCAGGGCCAAATTCAACAAACCTTCTAGCCGACTGGGGCAGCCAACAGGCTGCCGCGATTCCCCTCCAAGCCGTGCGGCCGGCTGGATGTCGCACTGACCCGCCCCTGTGTGCCTTGATGGGTGGCTGGGGCAGCCACCAGCAGGCTGCCGCGATTCACCGTCAAGCCGTGCGGCCGGCTGCCGTCCCCCTGCGTGCCTTGATGACTGGGCACAACCCGACGACGTGCCTAGAGAGTAAGGCACCACCCGGAATGACACGATGCACAAGAGAGCCGTGCTTGCATGGCATGATGCAAGTCCCACCTGTAGCTTCAACTCTGCAAGTCGCAAGTAGCTTAGAGCAAGTACAATAATACACTTTAACTTGTCTTATAGCCAAGACACGTCAGCAAATCCATACGTGGATGAGAGAGAAATGAGTAAGAGAAGAAGCTTTGTTGCAACATCCAGTGCCTGGCGCTTGCACAATTCCCTATGGTCATGGGGCCCACCACCATTTGTTCTCCCGTGATGACCCACCCCAGCAAGCACGAGGGGCGGCACGATGAGGCGTGGTCAACAGTTGTGCAGGGTCGAAGCCGGTAAAGATAAGGACGATTCTCGATCTACTGCTCCACCGATGGAGAAGTTGTTGCGGCCCAGGTGAACCCCGTCGTCTTCTCCTGCTCCGCCGATGGGGACGGGTGGTGGCGCGACAAGCTGCGGCGTCCATGCCCGAGCGTCTGCTCCGCTAGGAAGGGTAGCGCCAGCGACCTTAAGCAACGGCGCGGGTCGATGACGCTAGTGCCTGCTGTTCAATGAGCTCGTGGGATGTCGGCCCATCCTCTCGCTTGAAGAAGAAACTGGAGGGGGCAAATTGACAAATCACAGCTCTTCTCTCTCCTCTTCGGCTAGAAATGAATATTTTATTAACCACAATGTCCATTAAAAAAATTGGCAAAAAGCAAAGTGTCCACCAACAAATCACACTTATTTCCAGTCCTATGGTAAAGAGGGGTCATTTTCGATGTCCCGCGTGGTCAATTTTGCCTAGCATGTATAGTTTGAAGAAACATGATAGTATTGCTATGCTCCACAATTTTGTTTAATCTCATCTAAATCATAAGGACGGTCCCAAAATGCACAATATGATGTCAAAGAGATTTTCTTTAAACTCAGAAAACTATTACTCATAAGTCATAACCATTAGGCTCTGTTTGGATTATTAGAATTGAAATCCATTTTAATAATCTCAAATTAGACATAGATCTATTAAGTTAATATGGTCATGTATGAAATATACTTGTATATTATCATTGGTCACATGGCGGAGATATTTATGTGATCCACTTCTGCTACAAGGAAGCGAGGCGTAGAACGTGCTATAAGTTGCTAAGCAGAAACATAATATGCTGATCTATGAAACCAATTTCTATCTCACACTCCATAAATTTAAGACACACTTATACATAAACTTTAGAAAATTATGAAATATCAAATTCCTAGCTAAATAGCCTAGTCCATATAGTGAATTCTAATTTCTCCAAAATGAAAGAATCTAAACAGGCCTGTCTTCTTCTGCAACAAGCCACGGAGATCGGGGCCCTGAAAAAGACCGGCCGATTGTATTATATCGTGAACAGTAATTTTGAGTGGCGGAACAAGAGAATGGCCTTAAGCGGGCGAACGCCGTCAATTACAAGCTTGGACTCAAGAAGTGGCACATCGAACCAAGCTTGGACAAGAGTAGGGCTGGACAAAATACTCGCGGCTTGCTAACTCGTTCGACTCGTGTCCGGCTCGGCTCGGCTCGTTTTAACTTTTTTATGAGCTGAGCTAGAAATCTAGCTCGTTGTTTTAACGAGCCAGCTCACGAGCTACTCACGAGCTCAAACGAGCCGAGGCCTATCAGCCCACGACCATGAATCCAAAAGATGATGATGTTGACCTAGAAGTGTACACCTATTCCATTGATATATAATCCTTATTTTTAGTTGTTTCATATGAATTTTGATTTTATAATTGTTGTGGTACTTAAATATTGATTTATGGATTGTTTTCCGGAGAGAAAATGATGATGCTCACATTGAATTTGTGGACTTTACTAAGTCTGTGGTAGCAAGCAACTAGTAAGTATGCTGGAACTGCATGGATCATGGATAGACCAGCTATATTGCATGGATTGATACTTTTAATAAACCGAATATGTATTTAATCATGTATGATTGCATAATGATGGACGTTATATTCTAAAATTATTATAACATGAATATATAAATATATGTATTCTATTTTTTTTTAGCTCGCCAGCTAAAGGAGACCGTTCGAGCTCGCTAACGAAACAGAGCCTCGATATTCAGCCGTAGACAAGAGGACTTCTTTTTGAGTGTTGACGCTGTCCCTGTTGAGTGTTGACGCAGGTCGTCGATCCGTCGTCCTCTTTCACGGGGCCAAAATAAACGAGCGATAGGGTCAACCTAGCTACCGGTCCTTCGTATCCCGATTCTTGGATACTCTTTGCCATGTTTAACACTAATTTAAAATATTAAACATAGATTAATTA